TATAAATATATATTTTACGTTTTTCATCATATTCTCGAAGAGTTTTCAATCTTTCTTCACATTCATTTCTAATTATATTCTGAAAGAATTCTATGTCAACTAACTTTTAAACTATAAAATTTTTGATGTGCTTAGCAAACAGTTGCGAAATGCAAATTTAATCTGATATTGCTGCAATTTTTTTTTTAATAAATCATACAAAACTTTTGAACGAGTAATTTCCTTGAATTTTAAACTCAACTTGGCGAAAACTTTTGTATTTCACTGCAAAGTTTGGCCATTTATTAATTAAAAATCAGTGAAATCTGGCTGCAGCTATTTATTCAAGTATCAGGCACAGCAATTTTATACACATGCATATAGATCGTATAAATATTCAAGTAATATGTTAATAAAAAAATATTAAAAATATAAAGGTACTTTGTTTGACTTAAATTGTCTACTCAAACGGAAAGCTCGCTACAGTTCAGTAAATTTCATTTTATTAAAATTCCATTAAACAAGCTGTAAAGATCTCTGGGCAATTAGCATATACTATATTTCTTTTTTGCATATATATATTTTTTGTTTCTCGTAATTATTTCGCCATTTCAGCTCTTTTGATGCAATTTTAATTGAAGTTAAATTTCAAGCGTTTTTCTATGCTGCATTTAGCTCTGGCTTTAGTTTAGGGGGCCATTGCGAAGCAGCTGTTACTGCATTCACATTCGCATTCGCATTCGCATTCGGAACGCATTGGCATTCATTTCACTGTTTTTGGCTTTGCTTGTTGACCAAAAATAAAATGGCTAAAACAACAACGCAACGAACAACGTGACATTTCAGACACGCAACCAGCAAACATGTTCGATATTGTTTTTTGGGGTTTTGAGCGGGAGAGAGATTTGCTAAGCCCTTGTTTCTTTTTTTTTCTCTCTCTATTTCTCTGGTTTCTCTTGACAGGTGCCGCGTTTTGATGCCTGCGAGGTTTGCCTTTGCATGGACGGCGAAATCTTTTGCTGGTGGGAGAAATGCGGTTAGTTTGAATTCAGTTTTATGTGTTTTAATACACAAAATTGTAGATGCAACTTTTTACTTTCTAAAGCAGATAAGACGAATGTAAACAGAGCAGCAACGGCGACAGCAACGGCGACAGCAATGGCGACAGCGACAGCGACGATGACGACAGCTACTGCAGCTGCTGCTGGCGACTATTCGGATCCATATCGGTACGAGACCACAACGAGAAAATCAACAAAAGTGCACAAAATGGGCAGAAAGGCGGGCAAGCGGCACAAGCATCACAAGAATCAAAAGAATTTTAATGACTACGAAGTTTACCAAAGCCGCAAGCAGGCGCCGGATTATGAAAAGCCAGACATTAAACAGCAGCAGCAGCAGCAGCAGCAGCAGCAGCAGCAGCAGGAGGAGCAGCAGCAACAGCAGCAACAGCAGCAACAAGAAAGAAGCGACAGCATTGGCAACCACAGCAGCAGCGAGGCCAGCAACTACAATATAATCAAGCAACACAAACACGAGCCGCAGCAGCAAAAGTTGGCAACGGCATCGCAGCAGCAACAGCTGAAGGAACCCTTGCAGCACATCTCGACTGCTGCTGTTAATCAAGCAGCAAAGGAAACGCATTATCAACAGCAATTGCCAACGCCTCAGCAGCAACATCAGCACCAGCAACAGCAACAGCATCAGCACCAGCAACAGCATCAGCAGCAACAACATTTACACGCCCATCAGCAGCCGCACTCGACCAGCAAGATTTTAAATTTTCCCGAAAATTTGCCAGCGCTACTTTATTATGACTACAAAACGGAGGAGCATGAACATCATCAGCATCAGCATCATCAGCAGCATTTGCTGCATGAAAAGCAACGATTGCAACAACAGCAGCAGCTGCGACAGCAACAGCAACAGCAGCAACAGCAACAGCAAAAGATATTGCAAAAGGCGAACGCAGTTGTTGAACTCCACACTGTCTTGGGCATTGATAAAAACTTTGATGAGGCGGAAACCGACAGCGATATTTTGCCCGAGCCACCAACCAAGCGACCAGCAACAGCATTGACAACCAGCAGCAATAGCAACGGCAATGGCAACAGCAATGGCAGGGCGACAACAATGGCTTCTCCTGCAGTCGCAACAACAATTGAAATGATGACAACGCCGCGCAGCCAACAAGCAGCAGCAGCAGCAGCCACAGCCACAGCCACAGCGGTTGCCATTGGAAATACAAATGTGAGTGCAAATAAAAAATAAAAATAAAAATAAAATATAAGCAATCAGACTTTACATAGAGCTGACAAAATGCTGAATACTCTGCAGACAGCCAGACAGACGGGCCGCTTTAAGATAAGGCAAAGCACTCCTCTTTGACTCTGATCGATAGATATCCTTTGAGTGGCAAAATAGTTGTTTATGCAGCCAGTCAAGCGCCTTATCGTTTGTTCAATTTCATAGTTAGATGAATTTGCTTGCGAGTTGCTTCACGGCAAAGAGAGATAAATGTAAGCGTGAACACTGAAAGGAAAGCTATTGTTGCTAAAGTTTATACTAGTATATAAAAGGGTTTTATAGTTTGATTGATATATTTTCTTTATTTTATATTTAGCTCTTATGTCAGTCAAATGAACCTTTGAAGCATATATATTATTATAAACCTTAATAAATTGGTTGATTATTTTCTCGTTTATAATTTTTAAAGCTATCGATCAAAATTAAAATGTAAAATAAAAAATTGTAAATTTAATTTTCATTTAAGCTCATATTAACGCAATGTTTCAAAAAAAAAAAAATAAAAA